AGAGAGAGAGAGAGAGAGAGAGAGAGAGAGAGAGAGAGAGAGAGAGAAGGAGGGAGGGAGGGGAAGAGAAAGGGAGACACAGAGACAGAGAGAGAGAGGAGGAGGAAGAGGAAGTTTCTTCTAAGACCAAGTGATTCCTGAGGCAACTGTATCTCTATTGCTATGACTCCTCTATCCCTGTCCTTGACTCTGAACTCCACTCCACCCCCAGAGCTGGCATTTCTGGGCCCACACTCACAGGGCCCCCACCCACTTTCATGAAGAAGATCAGTCCTTTGGGTGGAGGAGGGAAAGGGGAAGAAATGTACTTCCTTTTCCTTTAGAATTCTGAGAAGTTCTGAGACTGGGGCCAACTGAAAGGCTGCTTTAAAAAGGGTCCCAGGGACCTAGAGCACCCACCTTCCCCAACGACAGATTAAAGGTCTGCCCACTTTCCCGGACAAACAAGAGGCATGGAAAGGAAGGTCTAGATGTGTTCTGGGAAATTAAGGTGGGGGAGGGGAGGAACACTCTCCAAGAGTCATATGGAAAGGAAATGACTTCCAGTGGACCAGGAGAGGTGCTAGTTTGTGGGCTTGAGCAGACTTTTTTGAATTGGGAGTCACAGGAATGAGTTAAAGCCCCAGTGTCTTTTAGAAAGCAAAGAGGAGCAGGACTGAGTCTGAGGACCTGCCCTCCAGCGACTTGGGGGAAATCACCTTCCCTCACTGGACTTCAGTTTCTTCATCTGTAAAATGAAACAGTTGAACAAGATGACCTCTAAGTTCTTTTTCATCTCTAAACCCAAAAATATAGATCTTGCCATTTATTGCAACTAGGTGGCATAGTGGATAGAGTACTTCCTGGAGTCAGAAGACCTCAGTTCAAATACAGCCTTGGACACTTACTAGCTGCGTGACCTTGGGCAAGTCACTTAACTTCAGTTTGTCTCAATTTCCTCAACTGTAAAATGGAGATCATAATATTAATTTATTTATTTTTAGTTTTCAACATTCATTTCCATCAGATTTTGAGTCCCAAATTTTCTCCCCATCTCGTCCCTTCCCCCACCCCAAGGTGGCATGCATTCTGAATACCCCTTTAAATGAGGATCATAATAGCACCTGCCTCCCAGAGTTGTTGTGAGGATCAAATGAGATATTTGTAAAGTGCCTGGCACATAGTAGGTGCTATTCTCATTATTATTATTTCCATTACTGCCACAAGTCACAATTTCTCTGAGCCTGTTTCCTAGTATCCAAAATGGGCATCATAATACTGGCTCTCTGCGTTCCATGGGGTTGACGAATTTTAAAGTGCTATGAGAATGTAATTATCATTATCATCCTAATAGCACACAGGGACCCAAAGATGCAGACCAGGATAAGATCTGTGCCCACTAGACAGGTGTGCTGGGATCATGCTGGGCACAGCAAGAGAAGGCATTAGTTTCTTGCCTGGACCAGACAAAAGTCCTGCCACGCTCTCTGCTTTTTCCCAGACAGCATTTTTCCCTTTCAGGACACAGTTGCTTCCTTCCTTCCTCCCCCCAATCCCCACCACCTCCACACCTTCCTAGGTCTGTACTGGGAAGAACATTGGCTGGCAAGAGAGATTGGCCGTGCCTTCAATGGAATCCCCCAAGGTCAGCCTCCCCAACTTGGCAGGGATTCAATCTCTCATCCCCCAGCCCCACTCACCAAAGTGAAAGAACAGTCATTGATTTTGCTGCTTAGCTGGTATTTTTAGCCCAGATCTTCATCAGCCCCTCCTCTTCCCGCCTGACCCAGACACAACAGGGGGCATTTCTCTCAGGCAATTCCTTTGCTTACCTCCAAGACAGGTTTTTTGGGGGGTTGCTTTTTAACTATACTACACTCCCTTTCAAGATCCAATTTACTCCAATTCCAATAGGTTGTATTAAGTATCTGCTATGCTCCAGGCCCTGGACTAAGTACTAGGGAATTAGAGATAAAGATAAAACAACAATAGCTTTCAAGGAAATTTTATTCTATTGGATGGTCGTCCTCCATTCTCACTAAGACAGGAGGCTTCTCATAGGAAGGAGTGCTGGACTTAGAGTCAGGAAGACCCAAGTTCAAATCATCCCTCCAACACATAATAGCCATACTGTCCCAGGCAAATCATTTTACCTTTCTTTTTTCTTTCTTTTTCTTTTTCTTTTTTTTTTTTTTTTGGTGAGGCAATTGGAGTTAAGTGACTTAACCAGAGTCACAAAGCTAGTGAGTGTTATGTGTTTGAGGCCACATTTGAACTCGGATCCTCCTGACTCAAGGGCCAGTGCTCTATCCACTTTGTCACCTAGCTGCCCCCATTTTACCTTTCTTAGGTCTTAGTTTCCTTATCTGTAAAATGGGGATAATAATTCTACTCATAACACTAACCTCTAGAGTTGTTGTGAGGTGCAACAGAGACAATTTAGGGTATCTGGACTGCACTAAGACTTTCAGTACCCCATCTATGTAAAGCATTTTGTACACATTAAAGCATTATATAAACATCGGTTATCTATTCATTATTATTACTACTCCCATGCTGAGAAGACCCACTGAACGCTTTCTGCTAGGTGGGGTTAAAAATAAGAGGTTTTCTTTTCTCACCTCTACCTCTTGGAATCCCTGTGTCCTTTCAAAGTTCAGCCCAAATGCCACTCCCTACAGGTGGCCTTTCCCAGTTCTCTGGTTATGAGGGTCCTCCCCATCACTTAGTACTTATTCAGTATATAACTTCGGTTTCCTTATTGGTGAACACGTTTTATTCCCCTAGTAGAATGTAAGCTCCATGAGGGCAGAGACTAACACACTCCTGTATTGGTAATGTCAGCTCTAGGCACAGTGTTTGACACATGGTAGATACTATTAATGCTTGTTGCGTTAATACGTGTGGTGTTAATATAATAATGGATGGTTACTTTCTGACTCCAAGTCCAGTACCCCATCCTCTAAGCCATGCCACCTCAAAGATAAAATATTTAAAGCTTGCAAAGAACCTCAGAGCTCATCTAGTTGTATTGTTTCTCATTTTGGGGTTTTCTTGACACTGGAGTAGTTTGCCATTTCCTTCTCCAGTTCATTTTACAGATAAAGAAACTGAGGCAAATAGGGTTAAGTGACATGCCCAGGGTCACACAGCTAGGAAGTATCTGAGGCCAAATTTGAACTCAGAAAGATGAGTCTTCATGACTCCAGGCCCAGCATTCTCTCCACTCCACCACCTAGCTGCGAAAGGGACTTTAGAGGCAGTTAAATTCAATCCCTTCATTTTAAAGATGAGGAACTCAGGCTCAGCAAAGTGGAGTGACTTGCACAAGGTCACACAGGTGGGGTCAGAGATGGAAGATAGCAAACACACTTAGCAGACATAGTGCCCTGGGGAAATTAGAGGAGGGAGAAAATATTTTTATGGAATGAAAGGATCAGGGGAGGCTTCCCGGATGTCATAGCTGGATCTTAAAGGAGAGGATTTTAACAAGTTTCATTTACTGGAAATGGTCAGGACAGGGCCATCTGAGCATAAATTTAGAGTCTGAAGGGACGAGTCCATCAAGTCCAACCCTCTCATTTTACAGATGAGGAAACTGAGGCATGGAAAGGTTAAGTGATTTGCCCAGGGTCATACAGCTAGTTAGAGTCTAAGGCTGGATTTGAACTGAGATCCTTCTAGTTACAAGTCCAGTATTCTATCCACTAAGCCATCCTGCTTCTCCATGCCATCGAGGAACAGCTGCTAGTCTAGATTGGTTGGAACATGTGAAAGGGAGTAATGTGTGGTAAGCCTAGAAAAGGATCATATCACCATTCCTTCCACTGGGCAGCTAGGTAGTGAAGTGGGTAGAATGCTGGGCCTGGAGTCAGGAAGACTCATCTTCCTGAGTTCAAATCCAATGTCAGACACTAGCTGTATGACCCTGGACAAGTCACATAATCCTGTTTGCCTCAGTTTCCTCATCTGTAAAATGAACTGGAGAAGAAAACGGCAAACCACTCCAATATCTCTGCCAAGAAAACCCCAAACGGGGTCACCAAGAGTCTGAAACGACTGAACAACAAAAACTATTTCCTCCTCTGTAATAAGAGGGAAAATGGAAATCAAATACTCTTCAGGCAATATGTCTGCAATTTTCTCCCTTCTCATCTCTACCTCCTGGCTCCCCTAGTTTTCTTAAAATCACAGCTCAAATCCCACCTACTACAGGAAGTCTTTCCCAATATCTCTTAATAGTGCCTTCCGTCTGTTGATTATCTCCAGTTTATCCTGTGTATATCTTGTCTGTACACAGTTGTTTGCATGTTGACTCCCCATTAAACTGTGAGTTCCTTGAGAGCAGGACCTGTTTCTTTTTGCCTTTCTTTGTATCCCCAGGGCTCAGCATAGTGCCTGGCATATAATAAATGTCTGTTGACTTGACTTGACACAGGGGAAAATGTTCCATACATACAAGAATAATCTTTGGGAGTCAAAAACTTGAAACAAAATGGTTGCCTATCAATTGGAGAATGGCTGGATAAATTGTGGTATATGAATTAATGGAATATTATTGAGTTGTTTAAAAAAAAGAATTTGACTAAAGAATCCAGAGAAACCTGGGAAAATTTTTTATGAACTGATGCACAGTGAGGCCAGTCAGTTAACAAGCATTTTATAAGATGACTCTGAAAGAGAGAATGAGGCTGATGACTTTGTACAGCTCAGCCTCACTTAAATCTAATTCATGCTGAAGTCAAGACATCATCCTGTGATGTCATGTCACTGGTCCTCTTTGAGTCAAAGAACAAACAACAGTCTTAAGCTCTGGACCAGGCATTGTGTAAGCACTAGTGAAAACAAAAGATCGATTTGCACACTGACTACAATAACAGAAACAAAAATAGCATCAAAAGACTTCAGAACTGATCAGTTCAATGACCAGTCCCAACTTCAGAGGATTGACATTGAAAAACTTCCTTTCTGCAAATAGGGGAGCTAAGTGGTCCAGTGGATAGGATGTTTGACATTAAGTTAGGATAGATCTGAGTATGAACCTGACCTTGGACACTTACTAGCTGTGTGACCCTAGGTAAGTCACTTAACCCTGTCTGCCTTGGTTTCCTTATCTGTAAAATGAGCTGAAGAAGGAAATGGCAAACCACTCCAGAAAACCAACCAATTGACTTGTTTTGCTCAATTGTAAGGGAGCATTCCATTGTGAGCAGAGAGGTTTGAGAAATAATGATGATATAAAAAGGCATCAATAAAGTATTTTATTATAAAAAATAAAATAAAATGAAGGGAATGACACTGCTCATGGCTTGGGAACAAAGGTACTAGGAGTTGTGTGTCGATTTAAAAAGTGGTTTTGATTAATTATATTTATAACTCTAAATAGTGACTCCAAAAATAGATAAAACAATAATTTTGTAAACCTAATAAAATAAGGATGTTGGACTGGCTGATCTGTACAATTCCTTCCAGCACTGCCATTCTGTGGTTCTATGTTCCTATAGCAGACCACCCCAACCAGGGTTCAGAGGTCCCTGCTGAATTTTCTCCCAGCAATTCTGATTTCGTTTGCTTCTGCTCCAAGCCTGCACCTCCTGAGACATCAGCCCCACCCCACTGCGCCCAATCCCCTCTTCTCCCCGTACTCACTGTCTAGGCAAGGCTCACAGACAGTCTGGTTGACCCCACAGGGCTGGGCCACACCCTCGCCCAGGTTGCATGCTCGACAGCATTCACCACTCTCGGTATACAGGTTGGTGGCACAATCCTCCTTCACTTCCCCCATGGACACCTGTGTGGGGAAAGGGAAAAGGGTCAGGCTGGGAAGATCCTCAGGAAGTCTGGGGAGTAGAAAGGGTGGAGGTGGGGAAGAGAGTGAATCTTCGGATGGATCAAATGCTCCTTTCTAATTCACTTGATTAGAAACACCTGGCCCGGGGATGAGCTCACTTGGGAGGCATTAGGAACATCAAAGCCTGAGGAAGAGAGGGACACTGGGTGCCTCCCTCCACTGATCCCCCCCAAGTGTGAGAGAGTGAGGTCAGAACACTTGTAACTAACCAGCTGCTAAGTTCACTCCTAGGTTAGATCTCCTTTGAATCAGGGGAACTTTCCCCTACTCCTAACCACCTCCCCCCAATCCCTGGTCTCCTGGAAGTATTAGGGAGTAGAAGGGGAGCCTTTGAGGACCAGTCTCCCTACTCCCACAATCCTCCCTTGCCCCCACCATGAAGAGAAAACAGGAACATGTAAATAGGAGTGTTCATGCATGTGGAATACAGATCTGGGTTCCAATTCTATCTCTGTCATCCATGTCTTTTCAAATCCCTTTCTGGGTCTCAGTTTCCTTCATCTGTCAAAAGACATAGACAATGCCTAAATAAAAGTCAACCAAAGGGAAGGAGTCTGGCATGTGTAGAGTACTCGTTATAAATGACAGTAAAATAGCCTTATAACCACCAGGCTACCCTGCCTCACAAGGTTTTGATTTCCAAAGAACAGAGGACTCCCCCACCTCACCACACACATACACACACAGAGACACTTGGAACAGCTCAGTAACCAGGGGAAAGGGGAGTCAGATTCCTGCCGCCGAAGCATCTTTGGCCAGGGACAGGAACAATTTAGTACTAGATTCTCTTTGGGGTGGGGGAGGGAGGGCTGCGGAAGTCTTGTTTTATTTTCTGTCTCTTAAAAAAAAAAGAAAGAAAATTAAAAGCATCATAAGGCCTATGGGAGCTCCAAAATCTACTTCACTGGCTATAGACCACCTAGCACCGTTCAGGTCCACTGAGGGACCAAAAGAGACATCACAAGGTCATTTTGTCCATTCCACTGCTTCTGCAGCGGCTGGTTTGAACTTTACCCCAACGTCTCAAAATAGACAAAAAAATCTGGATCCTTTGGAAAGGGCTGGAAGAGTGAGGGGGATTGACAAATTAGAACCTCATGGGAGGCAGCTGCTCTTTAGATGGTCTGCAAGGACCTGTGTGGCCCAAGAAAGGAATAGACAGATGTCCCTTTTCCCCAACACTGCACCTTCCCCAGGAGGCAATGATATAGCCTAGTCCTGGAAGGAAAACATCTGCAACCCAGGAGGCTTCCTGCCCCAGCTCCACAGCTGCAGGTGGCTTCCAACAACTTTTCCCCCCACAAGACAATATTCTTTCCTTGTGATGCAATCCTGGAGTAGTAGAAAGAACTTCGGAGATGAAGTCAAGGCAATCTGCCTTTGCATTTCTGCTGTACTGTGTACTTGTAATCACTGTGACCTAAGGTAAGTCATTTCCACTTTCTGGTTCTCAGTTTCTTCATCTGTAAAATCAAGGTCACTGGATGATATCTAACTTGAAATCCTCTGAGCCAGAACTCTGCTTTGCAAAGCAAAGATGTAAAGAATGAATTAAAATGGAAAAGACCAGCCAACCCTCCCAAGGACAGAATCATCTGAGGCTGCAGTGGAAAGGATTGCAGTGAGATTTCAAAAAGGACTTTCATGAAGGAGAGGGGTAGATGGGACTAGAGAAAAACCAACTTCAGTATGGGAAGATTGCCATCTACCTGGGACAGTGTTGGGCATGGGATCTATCTCTAACCATAACAAGAGTTCGTATTTATATAGCAACTTAAGATTTGCAAAGCACTTTACATGTGTTACCTGTTTATTCTCACTAACCTACCTGTAAGGTAGGTACTAAGGTTAACATCATCTTATAGATGAGGAAACTGAGGCAGACAGCAATTATGTGACCTGCCCAGGGTCACACAGCTAGTAAGTGTCTGAGGCCAGATTTGAATTCAAGGTCTTCCTGACTCTATGTCCCGTATTCTATCCACTGTGCCACCTGGCTGCTCTACAAAACCCCTTCAATGGTTTCATGCAATAATTCACAAACTTTTTGGTCTTAGGACTGTTGACACTCAAAAATTATTAAGGACCCTCCAAAGAACTTTAGTTTATATGGGTTATATCTATCTGTACTTATCATACTAGAAATTGAAACATTATCATGAAATCAGTTTTGGCTTCATGGACCTATTGAAAGGGTTTTGGAGATCCCCAGAGGTCCCCAGACAACACTCCGAGAGCCCTGGTCTAATGCTGAAGCAGGCTTCAGGGGGAGCATTATGGGGTGTGCCTTCAAGAGAGGGAATAAACGCCAAGAAAGGAAGGGGGATTGCTGGAGTTTTGGTCCTGGGGACAGTATTCCAGAGTGGAAAGAGCATTGAATTTGGAGTCAAAGGACCTGTGTTCAGATTCTTTTTTTTAAACATGTATTCGAGTTTTTGGTTTGGCAGCTTACTACTTCTGTGACCCTGAGTCCTTTCCTCCTTTGTAAAATGAGGAGATTTGGACTGGTTCCTTCCTTCCTGCACTAACTTCTAAGAGCCTATGACTTTTGAAATGATCTGAAGACTTCGGAGACCTTCATGAATCTACGGAATTCATTCTCAAATGCCTGGGTGTAAAGGGATGATCAAGATTTGGGACTAAGGATCCAATGCTAAAGGTGGGGAGTCAGGGATGTGGTGCTCATTTGACTGGGATGTTGATGGAGAAGGGAACCAAGTGTCAGTCACACCTTAGGTCAGAAAGATGGAATAGTTCAATGCCTGGAAGGGAAATGGTGGGGAAGGATAGAGACCCAGGTCTTTTTTCTGCACCTTAAGGGGCAGTGGTGGGGTAACCCCAAAATCTTGCCAAAGCCTCTTACTCCCCCCTGCCGGGCCCCCTGCCAGCTCCCCTCCTCTCCTCCAACTGTCCTGCTCATTTTCTGCCTTTAGCTCCATCCCTATTAGAGGCTACATTAGCTTCCTAGGCATCTCCGATTACAGACATCTGAATGACAAAGTGCCTCCATTATCCCCAGCTCCCTCCCCCGCCCGCCTGGCCCGGGGTTGGTCTGGTTTCAGCACTTTCTTGCCAGGACTCAGGAAGAAACCACGACAGTATGAGAGTGCTGCCAAGCAGCATCCCCAGCAGAGTCAGGGGGATGGATGTTCCTGAGCCCCTAATACTTACCTCCTCCTCCCCAATTGCTGGCCATGGAACTGAATATCATCCTCGATGCTAACCTGCCTAAACTAGCACTCTGTCCTTATCTATTCCTTGCACTAATACCTACCTTCCCGTTAGAGCTACCTGTCTGGCATGGCCTTTTTCTTCTAGCCTCTGGTTCACAGCTCCCCTCTAGTCTCAGGAATTCAGGAAATACCTTGTCTTTTCCAGCACAAAATTCTCCTCCTGGACTTTTCTCTGCTCCCTCAGTTCCCCTAGATGTCTGTCACCCAGAGAGGCCTAGATAAACCCCTAAGAGAGGAGAGAGATGTGGGCCCAATTTTTCTCAACCCCTGTTCACAAGGTAAGTTATTAATCTTCTAGACTAGAGGTTCTTAACCTGAGGTCCATGGACCACTCCCCCCCCCCCATAGATTTCAGGAGGAGTCATGAACTTGGATGAGAAAAAAAAAATGCATCTTTATTTCAGCAACCTACAACTGAAATTTAGCATTTCCTTCAGTTTCTTAAGAACACGATTCTTAGAAGGCGTCCATAGGCTTCACCAGACTGTGAAAAGAGTCCATAACACCCACAAAAAAGCTTAAGAACTCCAGATTTGGTTAAAGCCTACAACTAGGTAACTGAAGTAGTGTCGTTGGGAGTGCCTGATGGTAGTTCAGCTCTGATCCTAACTCAGCCCCACACCTGGGCCAGATCTGGGTATTCTCCACGGTGTCATTCTTCAGTCTCCCCGATGACACCCTCCCCCCAAAACGAAACGCTCCCTTTCAGGCACTTCAACCTCAAGATCAATGCCATCTGAGCGGTACAAAACAAAGTGCTTTGGGAAGCCCCAGGGAAAGTGTAGTCTCAGCCACCACTTCGGGCATTCAAAGCCTTCCGTGATTTGGCCACACCCACCCCATAGGGTCAATTTTACAAGAAGTGTAGTTCCGGCGACCAGGTGGTTTGAAGGCGCTTTCTCGTAGATGCTGAGAAAAAATTCTCGCCTGCCTCCCTCCCTATCCCTGTGCCTGATTTAGAGCTATCAGAACCTGATTTGGGCTTGATCCCTAGGAATAGAAGCTAATCTGACTGTCCCGCTCCATAGAGCTCTCCCAATAACTGCTGGACTGTGGCCCCTCTGTGGGGGACACTCTGCCCTTCACCTGAGACAGCTCTTCCCATGACTCAGCAGGAGAGGAATCCAGGAGATCCTGACACCCCACCCCACCGCCAGTCCCTCGCTAGCTTCTCAGAAGCCAGACGTCCCTGGGTCCGATTTCTCTATTCTTGGAGAGAACGCCTCGGACACAGCAACCCAGCCGTCAGCCTAGTCGGTCTTCCCTCCTTTCCGCCTCTCAACCAGCTTTTCTTTTCTATCCTCCAGTGACCGGGGCTTCGCCCGGTCGAATGCCAAGCCTTCTCTCCGCCTCCTCCCCCAACTCCCAAAATTGAGAGCAGAGTAGACTTCTGAGACAGCTAAATCTTTCCAGCACCATGCAGTGGACCCGGTTAGGGGAAGGTGGAGGTAGTCCAGGGAACATGGGACAGAAATGTGCAGGACTGGAGTATAGGATTTGTAGACTGGCTGCGCGGAGTAGCGCAGGATTAATTTTTTAGGGAATGGATGGGATGGGACGAGAATGGACTGCTGCTGCTGTGGTTGCCCCATTTTCCCCTCCCCAGAGCGCCCTCTCTTGGCCACTGCCCTCCCGGGTTCGGCACTTTCTTCATTAAACCCCGGGAGCCAGACTTAGCTGGTATCCCCCGGGAAATCCACCTTATTTGGTACGTGGGCCAATCCAGTCTCTCTATCCTATACTGGGGACCCGGACAACGGGCCAAGGGATCCCCTTATGTTTCTTCCCTTTCTGCCAAAGTCAGCTAGTGGAGGCTACCCCCTAGTCCGCTGGCTGGGAAAGGGTGATGGGTGGAGTGTGAGAGGGTTCTGGGAAGCTCACGCCGGATGAGAGCGGGAGAAGAGAGTTGGGAGGGTTTCGAGAAAAGTGATCGGTGATGCCCTAAGATAATGGAGAACCCGGGCGATTGGCTGCTACGACTGGGCCCTATCCCAAGCCCCTCTCCATCGGCAATCTCTGGGCTAGGTAAGTCATAGAAGGAAAAGCGTCCAGAATAGCTCCCATGCTTTTAGTCTCCGGCTTTTCCTTCAGCCCTCTGGTGCGACCCATTTCATCGCTCCTTCAGCCCCTTCTACGTTCTCCGCCCCCACTTTTCGGCTTTCCTTTCCTCTTTGCCTGCCCCAGCTTCATCACTCTTTTCATGAACCCTGTTCTTGCTTATCTGTGCCTCCAACGCCCGTTCTCTGCTGCCATCCGGCTTCGCTCACTAGCGCATCCCCCTCCCCTCCCCTCATTGTCCTGCCCTGTCCCTATTGTCCCATGTCCTACCCTCGATACCTTCTGCCTGTCCCCTGTCCCCAGTTTCCGATTCCCGTTCCCCATACCCCACTTGCTTCCATTGGAGCTTATCGCTGGAGCCTGCTCCCCCATTCCGTCTGTCCCGACGCCCAGTTACCCCACCCACCCCATTCCCTTCCCCACCGCTCCCTTTGCCTCGTTGGTCCAACCGAAGCTCCTCTCTGGGATCCATGCATCGGAATACCCTCTACCCTAGCCAAGCTACTCCTTCCAGGGACCAAGGAGTCGGAGCACCTCTCCTATCTCACTCCCTTCACGACCCCACTCCGGGGACCAAAGCGCCCGAGTACCCTTCTTGACTGGCTGCACCTCAACACCTCCCTCCGCTTCCGGGGGACCCAGGCACGCGCTTCTCTCAGAAACAGGCATCCCAGTTCCTTCTGCGACCAAGGTTTTCCAAGGTTCCTCGGAAAGACCCAGGCATCGGTCCCAGTCTCTCCCACTCTATTCCAGCGCACAGTGACCCTGGGATTCAAGTTCCCCTTCCGAGAGTCCTCAAGCTCTAGTCTCCGCGGGCTCTGCTCGCCCTTCCAGCCCCAGTGCGTGTGAAAAGAGGACACTTCCCATTCGAACTCACCCCCAAGAGCAGCAGCAGCAGCAAGCGACACGGCCCTTCCATGGCTGGGTAGGTGGACAAGACCACCCTTGGGTGCCTGGTGGCACCTCCCTCCCGCCCCCACCCAGCTTCCTTAGCTCAGTCCTTCTGGTCCTGCTTCTGCACTCGCCAGGAGCCAACCGAGGCTCCGCTCCCTCTGACTGCTGGCAGGAGGTACTCGGGAGAGCTAGGGCTACGGCCCCGCCCCCTCCCCGCCCATACCGCCCACCCGCCCGGAACCGCGGCTGCCCCGCCCCACCACCCCTCAGCCCTGCTGCCTGGAGTGGAGAGGGGAGGGCACGGATGGGGGGTGGGGGGGACCGGCCATAAAGCGGAGCCTCTCCTCCATCACCCTCCCCACCTCCTACCCCCACTCCAGCCCTCTGTAACTCATCCCCTGTCCTGAGCTTCCTTTATCTATTTCTCCCTCTTCACCAACCTCAGCCGTGTTTTCAGGGCCTCTCTATCTGTCTCTCTCCTACCCTGCATCCTTTGGCCTCAGCTCTGTCTCCTTGTCGCCTCCGCCAGTCCTCTGTTCTCTCCCCTTATTTCATATCTCAGTCTCTACTTCTCTGCAATCCCTCCATCCCCTTTCCTCTCGGCCTATCCTCTACCTGATGTTTTTCACCTCTTTTTCTGTTTCTTTTCTGTTGTTGTTGCTGTCTCCCCACCTGTGATTACAGTCCTCCCCCTCCTCACCGCGACTCCAGTTCTCTCCCCACCTTCTGGGCAGTCACTTATCTACCTCCTGGCCCAGGCAAAAGCTCGGTTCTCTCTCTATGCAAAGACTTTTCTGGAAGAGGCCAAGTGGAACTCTCTTGCCTTCCCTTCCTCAGTCTCCCTCCCAGGGTGAAGTAGGTCATCTAGATGCTGAGGGAGAGGAATGGGTGTAGGCACCAAGTCGACCCCAATGATCAACTGAATTCTGTCTTTGCTGGATCAGTCCTGGAAGGCTAGGAATCAGACATTGCCTTTGCTCCTCCCTCAAACCATACACATCCAGTGAAACACAGGTGAGGGCCAGGAATATCCATGCAGGCATTTCCATCCCTGAGCTACACCAACCTGGTCCTAGGACATTAACAGGTATTGAGGCTCCTCTCTTCTTGCCTATCCCAGCCTTTTTAAGCCCTTGTGATAAAGGTGGGACCAAGCTAGGGAACCAGTAGGACAACACAAGGACCAGCTCCTCACCAGTGACTCACAGATCCTAGAATCTAAGAGCTTGATGGGACCTAGTCTGACTATTTTACAGAGGAAGAAGCTGAGATCCAGAGAGACAAAGCAACTTGCCACAGGTTGCACAGCTAATAGGACTCACATTCCTTTTTCAGTTCCCTTTTGGCCCCTAGGCTAAGGGGTCTCAAAAAGCCAGGAGAAGTCCTGGTTCCTTTGTGCCTCTGGCACTTGTTACCCTGCTAGCTTATTACTTGTGGGACTAGTGCTGGCTTCTTAAAGGGGAGAATTACCCCCCCCCTTTTTATCCCTCTTCCATGCTTTCCTTTCAGTTTATACCTACACAAAATGACATCAGTAATCTTACCTACCCTTTGTTTGAGGTAAGTACTACGGGTATAATTATTCCCACTTTTCAGATGAGTAAAACTGAGACATGGCTGATGTCTTGACTTGCAAGTAACTTGGATTTAAGTAAAGCAGAGTTGCACAAAATCATCAGCCTCACTCTCTATCAGAGTCATCAAAGCCAAAGAGGCAAGACAAAAGTCACAGTATCGATGGCCCCAGAATGCATTGGATGACCTTGGAGTCTTCGATGTTTGACCAAGCTCTAAGTGCTCCACAGTGCCTACTTCAGCTGTCCTCATGGTCGTTGGAACAAAATGTTCTCATTGGCCCATTTTGCCAGAGGAAGTCTTCACATGATGGAAAAATGGAACCCAAGGTCTAAGGTGACACAAGTAGTTAGAGGCAGTCTAGCAAACCTTCATTCCTCAACAGCGTTTCCAATGGAGTCATGGAGAGAGGTCATGTATAACTGAATATAATCTTAATGTGTTCTACTGATAGCCTTTATTGTTAATAACAGCTCTGAGGATGGTAATATAGTATTAATAGTTTTGATAACACTGGTCACTTAAACAGCAACATAATTTTTACAGATAATAATTATTATTGAGTATGATATAGTAAAGACAGCTTGCCATAGTAAATAGAGTGCTGGACTTAGAATGAAGAAGAAGTGAATTCAGATCCTGCCTTTGAAAATTATTATCTGTGTGACCATGGGCATATCACTTAAGCTCTAAGAATTTCAGGCAAGTAATGTTATAAGTTATCAATGGGCCATAATCCATGTTGGTGGAATTCTTTCATACTGCAAATTACTCATAGACTTTGAGAGCTGGAAAGGGATCTTAGGCATCATTTAATCCAAGGTTCTAATTTTATGAATGAGAAAACTGAGGCTCAGGAATACAAGATCATATAGCTAGTGACAGAGTCAAGATGAGAATGTAGATTTTAGCACCACCACTCCAGTGCTCAGATCTGAACCAAAATAATTTGTATTGACCCTTTATTTATTTTATTGCCCATTTATTTAGGGAACTCCTAATCTGATAGGAGAGGTAGGAGCCCTAAATTTTTGTTAGAGTAGCATAGTTCAATACATTGAGGATCTGTGATTTCATGAGTGTGGGATCTTCCTCCACTGATACAGATCACAACTTATCCACACCTTGGAAGATGGTTCCAAGATTGGCTCATACCAAAAAAAATTACATCCCATGGAAGCCAACTTCTGGTGATAAGTGTCTCCATATTTAGCTGGGCTAACCCACTGAAAGTAGGCACAGTCTGTCACTAATCTTATACCAGCCTTTTGAACTTGCCACACAGCCTTGAGACCCAGGGTCATGTCTACCCATGCTAAAGCATCAGAGTAGAAATTATGTGATAGGGAAATATTCAGTGACACAGATAGGTTTACCCAGAGGTAGTATGTTGTAGTAGAAAAGGGAGATCTAGTTTTAATATTTTCATGGTCTCATCATTTCTAGACCTAGCTCAGATTCTCCTCTTTCCTTCTCCAGGCAGCCTTCCTGGACTATTCCAATCCCATTACAATCAGTTCTTTCCTTCCAACTACTCCCAGCATCATTGTCTCTGGTTTGCATTCTGTTCGCTTCCTATATCCTGGACGTGGGTTCTATCTCCCTCAAAATAATATATTTGCCAGCATCTTTCTAACAAATGTTGTTTAGTATCGATGGCAATTGAAGCACTGAATTTGGATTCTAAGGTCTGAGACCTGGACTTGGAGTCTCAAAATTTGGATTGACACTGTCACTAGGTGTGTAACTTTGTCCCATTGGACCTCACTTTCCTCATTCATAAAATGGGGGCATTAGACAATTGATGCCCTAGCAACCTCTCTAGCCTCCAAAGTCTATTAAGCAGAATATGTTACTAATTGGCTCTGTTCCACAAGGAAGTGGAAATGTCACTAATGATGATGGGAAGAACAGCTGGGCCAGATCATATTCATACAGAAGAAATATATGTTAGGCAGACATAATTTTTAAAGCACTAAGGGGTCAATTTTCAAGATATGAGAGAGAGAGACAGAGACAGAGACAGAGACAGAGAGAGAGAAACTGAATGATTAGATGAAAAGACACATATTGTACTAACACCAAAAAAGAGAGGAGGAATTAAGAAGACATCAAAAAATGAATTGGAGCTCATAGAGTCTTGAGTCAGAGAAACCAATTAGAAAAATATTGCAGTAGTCCAGGAAAGAGGTGATAAGTGCCTTCACTGGGCAAGTAGGAGAAGGGATTTTGTGGAGATAAAATGGACAAGATTTGACAACTGGTTGGATATGAGATATGAGAAGTGAAAGAGTAGGAAGTTGAGGGTGATTCCATGGTTTCAAACTTGGGAGAATGGAAAAATAGGGATGCTCTCCACATAAATAGGGAATTTTAAAAAGGGGTAGGTTGGGGCGGGGTAAGAATAATGAATGCTGTTTTGAACATGATGAATTTGAGATGTTTGTTATGCACAGTTTGCAATGTCCAATAGGAAGTAGGTGATGTGGAAGCAGGACACAGGAGAAAGACTAGGGCTGGATAAATGGAGATATCATGATAATTGAATCCATATGAGCTAGATCAACACTGAGAGAGTGTAGAAGAGAGAAGGGGGTGCAGCCCAGAGCTTTGGGGTTAGTGGACATGACACTGATGATGAGCCAGCAAAGGAGACTGAGACTGAGCAGCCAGATTTGTAGGAAGAGAACAAGAAAATATCAGGAAAACCCAGAAAAGAGAGAAGATGGTCAACAATTTCCAATGTTGCAAAGAGGTCAAGAAAGATGAGAAAGAAAAAAAAAGGCTGAAAGATTGGGCAATCAAAAGATCATTGTTACCTTTGGAAAATAGTTTTGGTTGAGTGATGATATTGGAAGCCAGAATCTAAGCAACTGAAAAGTGAGTGAGAGGAAAGGAAGTGGAGTAATGGGAGCAGGCAGCTTTTTCTGGGAGCTTGGCTGTGAAGGGGAAGAGAGATAGGAAAGAGCTTGAGGATATGGAAGGGTCAAGTGACAGGCTGGGGTTTTTTTTTTGTTTTGTTTTTTTGTTTTGTTTTGTTTTGTTTTTTAAGATAGAGGTTTGGGCATGTCTGTAGGTAGCAAGGAGGGAATCCGCAGATAGGAGAGACTGAATGTTAGAGGTGGGTGATGATTGCAGAGGAAAGGTGCTAAAGAAGAAGAGAGGGGATGGGATCCTAGCTACATGTGGAGACGTTAGCCATCGTGAGGATAAGGGTCATCTCTTCATCAGAGAATGGAGAAAGGGAGGAGAGAATGGGTGATGGTGTCAAGGAGTTTTGAAATGTAGAGGTGAGATGAAACTCACAGCTAATTTTCTCAATAAAGTATAAGTCAAGGTCCTCAGGTGAAAGGATAAATGGAGAGGTGGCATAGGAAAGGGGAAAAGTATTAAGCATTTAGATAGTGCTTGCTATGTACCAGTCACTGTGCTAAGTGCCTGCAAGGTAGGTGCTGTTATTATTATCCCCACTTTACAATTGAGGAAACTGAGGCAAACAGAGGTTAAGTGACTTGCCCTGGGTCACACAACTACTAAGTGTCTGAGGCCAGATTTTAATCCAGTTTG